TTTATTTATTATTTATTTATATTTTTTTGGCTGAAAACGAGTGCATTTTTCATGTAACACGAGTGCAATGTTGTAACACGAGTGCAAATTACAATTAGCGCGCGTGCTGCAAAATTTTGTTTGTTTTGACTTTCTGTGACGCGTTTTTCGTGTAAAGTATTAACAAGGAAGAACATGATTACGGGTGCAATTTGGTGTAAGTAAGCACTTATAAATTTTTCAGAGACAACAAATTGCACTCGCCCTACGGGCTCAAGCAATTTTTTCGTCTTCAAAAAATTCAATCGTGCTTATTAACACCAAATTGCACTCTTAATCATGTTGTTACCTGGACAAATTTTGCGCGGAAAATTGACGCATAGGTGGCCAAAATTGTCCTGCGCTTGCCCGACGTTTGATCTCTGTTGAGTACAACGGCCATTGTACGCCATGACTTTGTTAATCCTCTGCCGTTCGTCAATTGTAGGGATTAAATTCATAAAAACATCAAGAAACAAAAAGGCATGTAGACATTTGGTTTGAATTTTGAACAACTAAATGGTTTCACTTTCTAAAACCGCAGATGAAATTTATGAAATGAAATGCCATTTTTCTAGAATCAAGTATGTGCACTAAAGCCTTCAAGTGAACACTCCTTAAACCATTCCAAATCCCACTTCTGGCTATGAACACTGTAAATGCAAAATTAAGGTCCTTACCAATTCGTAAAGAATACCATTCTTGTGTATGTAAAACTTCTTTGTCAACAGTGAGTGCGTTACAATAACCAATGAAAGACCGTTAAAAGTTCAATAGACTTCCTGTACAATTGACAATTCAATAAAAGTTTTCTGAAAGCCACTTAGCTCTCTGCACAAAAGGCACCGTCGTCTTAAGTCCCTAGTTACAATACTCAGGCAAAGAGTTATTTTCACGGAGTGTATTCCAGAATGTCGACTGTTATTCCCTCAGGTAAAAGCAGCAAGGATTTACAATCGCAGCGCACTTTTGTGGAGCAACTTCGCCGTGAGGCAAAAGTCCAGCGGGTGAAACTGTCGCTGAGTGCAAGTGAACTTGTGCAGTATTGCGAGCAACAAGGCAACGTAGATCCTTTAGTCAGCCCGAAAGCTTCTCACGACAATCCCTTTCGTAATTCTGGTGGTAAATGTGTTTTGTTTTAAACTGGGAGCAATCTTCGAGCTCTGGAGCATTTTTTTT